GCCGCTCTTTCACCTTGGCGATGGAGCGGACGTAGGGCGCAATCTGCTTGGTGATGGTGGTCAGGCAGCTGTTCTCCTGCCGCAGCTGCAGCAGGTCATGGAGCTGGGCTGGTGGTGAGAGGAGTGGGCTGGGGCACGGCCGCCCCCCCGGCATGGACACAGGGGGCTCAGGGAGGGGGAGTGGGGTCAGCAATACCTTCATAGATCTCCTGCTCATTTGCCACCCGCTGGTAAGTCTCCTCCCAGACCTGGAAGGAGGAGAGGGAGGGGGGCAGCGTGTGGCAGTATGGCACAGAGGGGCTCTGCTCTGCCGGGATGCACCAGCTGTACCTCCTCGAAGACGCTGCGCATCATCTCCACAGCGGAGTAGTGAGCTGCGATCTGCACGTCCATCTGCAGGGACTTCTGCAGGATCTCACTCATGACCTCTGACTTGATGAGCGAGTGGTGCTTGGTGAGGTCACGGTGCAGCTCCTGCACCTGGTCCTTCAGGGCCTGGATCTCCGTCTGCAGCATCTGTGGGGGCCACGGCTGTGTGAATAACACCAACCCTGCCCACTGACCCATCCTGTCCCGCCCCACCTGCGCTCCCTACCCGGTAGGTGTTCTCATAGTTGCGGCAGTGCTCGGCAAAAGGCGTCTCACGCCCCTCAGCCAGCAGCACTTTGGTGCTGATGTACCGGTGCATCGTCGGCTTCCTCACCATGGGGCCAGTGGACATTTTGTCACTGGTGGGGGGGCAGCTGGGCACCATGAGGGTCTTGGAGCATTGGCCACCGGGGAGCCTGCATGGAGACGTGACAGTGGCACACTGCAGGTGAGCACAGCCCTTCCCTCGCCCAGGCATGGGGGCTCAGTCACAGGTGCCTTATGCTGCCTTGAAAATCAGGTTTTCGTGGGCTGCTCTCCTGATCCCTGCAGCTTCAGGACCAGCTGCTGCAGGGAGAAGGCAGGAGCTGAGCTCGACGCACTCTGATTTCTGAAGGGCAGGATGCAGCTTGCTCCCTCACCGCAGGTATCTCCTGGCCCCTTGGCAGGCACCACTGCTCCTGCATCTCACCCCATCCCGTGGCCTCCCCGTGCTGCCCACCGTCATCGGTCCTACCGTGCA